TTGAATAACCTGCGAGGAAGATTTTCAGACAACCAGACACAAGGACAGAGGACGAGTAGTATGTATTGAGGGGCATATGCAACATGGAGGGAGGCTCGGGTGGACCAGCTTGAGGTGCGATTCGGTTTTGTGATTGGTCATTGAAGCCTGTTTGATTGTGCCAGTCGTCTTTATACTAGGGCTCAGGTATTCTGCTTAGTGACATAGGGCGCAGGCATGCTAAGTCACACAGGGTTCCTTCAATCCCGTCTTTGTGTGTTTGAATAGCCAACGTTGGAGACCAGCAGCCAACTAGAGTCATGGGCAGATGCGAAGTCCTATATGAGGAGCAGTGCAGGCAGTGTAGTGAATTCAGAGGGACAGCGCCTGACAGAGGACGGTTTCGGCTTGTGGTTGGTCAGTAAATTCAGCGCTATATACCTGATTTCTTAATACTTGGCCTTGGGTATTCCACGGTAGTGAGTGCCGATGTGGAGCGCTGACATGTTGGAACATGCTGAGCCCAGCCAATTTCCTGTCTTTGTGCGTTTTAATGGGCTATGCGGAAGCTCATCGAAAAACCAGATCTGGCATGTAGGAATCGGATGAACGGGGCTTGACGATCGGCACTGGGTTTTCGGGTGTTACCAGAGACTATGCAGTTACGCATGTCTTTTTCATATTCGGCTAGGGTATTGTACAGTAGGTATGATATCGAATGTAGCCATGTGGATTACGCATGGAATGATGTCAAATTATATATCCATGGCCTATGAGGTAGATCAGTGCCAACTCAGAGACAAGGGTGGATGATCAGCACATACTTAATGGTCACCACAGCCAGTAATATTGATTCAACTCGGCTATGGTATTCAGTGCCTTAATCGGTGCATGTAAAATTGCGCCAGTCTTATAGCGTTGGTCTTCCTTGTAATAAGTTCAGGGTGTATTAAAAGAATGAGGCGGTTGCATAAGAATGGCGTGAACTGAAACCTTCTCGTTTGTTTTTTCTAGCATGGATGACAGATGCGAGAGCTTCTCAAGCAGACCGAAAATTCTTGTTCATGAAATTCGGTCGCGCGATGGATTGCCGCTTTTTGTTTGAGGTGTTTACGCGTCATTCCAACGTACTCTATTCCTTCACAGTTCACAAAATTAAGACCAAAGCGTCTGATAAGGCGCCGAAAGGTTGCCGAGGAAATCAGGAATATTGAAAGCCAGAGACCAACTATGCACTCCACGGGCAGGTATTATCAAGGCGATTGTTGACATATGGAAAAATTGCTCATCTAGATTGCGAATTTTGCCGACGAACAATTTTACCTGATTGTTTGATATCGTGGTTCATGTGTAAAACCCTACAAACTTGACTGCAAACGTGTTCTACCATTACGTCGTAATATTAGCTTGTCAAGTGTTAAGAAATAGGATATAAACTTTGTTACTTCGTTTGGTTTCCTAATTACTAAGCGTCGCCTCACCACTCATATACCCAATTTGAAACCCTCACCCTCGTAGGTGTCAGCATTCTGGGCGGACAAAGTGCAACGAGGGAAATGAGAAGATCTTGAAACATCAAAATACTCGATGGCTGTACAGACAAACTGCCTTGCCGTAGTATTTATCCAGCAAGGGGCCCAGTGGGTAAATTCAGCTATGACTTCAGATGTGGGCTATGTCATCAACTAAGATATCAAGGCCTGGTAAAAAAGGCAGATGTGGTAAACATTAACTGCGAATTCAGGTGATTTTCATTCATGAGAAAACACAGCCATGAACGTCAACCCTTCTTGACAAAGAATCCTCAATATCAGGCCAGGCGAACCAGATTGCCGTGCAATTACTATTGCTCAGTTATGGTTGCTCAGCAAATGTTCAGTCACACGTGTGTAATGGCCTATTAGAAATCGCTAAATCGTATTCTGGAATAGTTTGAATCATACTGTATCTGGTCGTAATTTTTTGTAGGCGACATCCAGCACGTGTTAAAGTGCCTGGCAAAAATATTCTAAATCTTTTTGGACTTGAGAAATGTGGTTAATATTTGAATTGTTGGGACTTATGTTAGGATTGTTTATATGCAAATGGACGTGTGTCAATAGCTCTAAATATATTGGTCTTCGCATTGGCTGAATGCCTCACCGGCACCTAAGCAAATTGAATCCACTTCTTCAAATACTAATAAAACCTTGGTCATTTGGGTTACAAAATGACGGTACGAACATTCACAATTTGTAGGAATTTCGATGGTGGTCAGTCTAATTATTACAAAAGTGTTCACACGAATGACAGTTAAACCCAATTGCTCTGGTCTGGGTAATGAATATATATTCAGTTGACAAGCGGCCTTTATTGTCTTTAAATGCAAATATACTTGTAGAAATTGAGCCAGCTCGTAAATTGTGTTTACGGAGATAGGATTCTAACATAAATAATGCTGACTAATGCCAACAATGTACACCTAGGAAGCACAAATATGCCCTTTGGAATAGATCGGTTATTGCACATGTTCACGTTCATTCTCATTGCCATCACATCATTTAATTTTTGTATTACAAGCATGCACTAATTGTGCCAGATTTTGTGTTTGAAGATTATTTACTTGGACATAAAAGAATTTGTCTGCATATAAAGCGCATATTTCAGTTTCATTTATGTGATAAATTGTCTAGAAATTTTATGTTAAAGAAGATTGGTTTGATTTACGGATGCACCAAAATACGTGGCACATAATAACAACATAGCGGTATGAGGAATTGCTATTCTATACATGACCTGTTTAAACTAATTGTTTTCATAGACGATGGTTGCACTGACTACTTAAAGGTGCTCAGAGAATCGCATTTCGTAGAATTAAAGCTTGAGGTTTGAACTTGCAAATTATTGAAATTGTCCGAAGTATAGGAATTTTTATTTGTTTATTAATTTTGATTCATTTTGCATTAATGCGTTCAAAGACGTCAAGTTAGAGGCAATCAGTCTCAGTATCATACACGAATAAGTCAGTAAGAGGTTTAAAATGAATCAGGTGGATTAATCTACAAGTAAACTCCCGGGTGTACAGCGTGGTAACTTTCGCACATGTTCCTTGTTGGTGGGTGGCTTCGAACTGATTCAATCAAACCTAAACCACGTAAACAGATATTCAGTCAACCAAGAGCAGGACAAACAGTCGAAATTTGGTCTCAACTCAATATCGTTTCACTTTTAATTCCGGACTCTTAGCGCTAGTTAGGTACATGAACATGCCTCTTTGTTGTAAGCCAATACTCGATGTTTGCGTTGTTGCATTAAGAAGGCTGAGAAACTTAACATAAATGTACAATTGTTACACAAGACCGTCCCGAGTCCTTCTTTGCCCCTTTTAATTATGCTGCTCTTACAAATTCTCACACTGCAAGTACATGGCACAAAAACATTTTTTCCCTTAAAAAAATAAAAGCAAACTCAAAGAATGATGTATTTGGTTAGAGTGTTTAAGAAAGAAAGTATGCTGAGGAAATAACTTTGTCATCATATGCTAAAGGAAAACAAGAAATTTGAACAGCTTCATTGGCTAGTAGTACTGAAGTTGTCACGCGACGTTTTTTAGTACGTAAGATGACAAAAAAAATCATCAACTCAAAATCCATTGGAAGTCCAAAGAAAATAGAGCTGCAAAGCCTAAGCTTGCCATCAAGCACAAAACGCATGGCGGCGAGATTTAGACATCGATGTTTTTTATAGAAGTGAATCACTCTCAGGCGGTTATCACGCTCCAAAATAAAGAACCTCTGCCAGGCGTGCAATCCCGTCAATTTGTCTCCAATGAATTTCCCAATAAAAACGTGTTCAAAAGCACAATGACGTAGTGGTTTGACATCTTCGAGAATATCTCCAGCAGTCATTCCTACCCACGCTAAAAGGACATCGTCGAGGAGATCCTTCGCCGAGCGTGTACCATTTCCGGGTATAGAGTTAAGAAGATCAAGAGATAACGAAAATATCGGTGAAGATTTTAAAATAGTTATCACCTCTTCCAATAAGAATTTCCGATTTCCGTTTTCCCAGTGACAAAGAATATGCTTGGATAATTTATCAATGTTTGATGGAAACATTTCATCAATGCTTAGGTTTTCATCAAAAAAGTGCGACCCGGAAGAGAAGTACCAGTTGATGCCCTTTTCGAGAGCCACATAATTGTCACTTCTCAAAATGTTTTCAGAAAAGTATTTCGAAAAAACAGCCGTTATCTTAGCGTCATCACCTGAGAAAGTGCGCCGCGGTATTTCAAAGCATCTGGCGTTGTCATTATAGCCCTGTAAAACAATAAAGACTTTGCAAAAGTGGGAAATCTAATAATCGATGGACATCTGTTAAATTACATCGAGAGAGATGCATTGAAAACCGTGCAAAAAGAAAACGCATAAGAGCAAGCAGTATTTGGCAGAAAGCACATGGAGAAATACCAAGAATTAAGGGTGAATTAGGACAAAATGCAGCAACAACATCAGGGTCCAGACAGCGTCAAAGCATGCCACTGAAACTGACATTTGAGAAAATCTTCCTACTTGGGAATATGCGCTGCACACACTGCAGTCTGTCTAACCGTAGCAGCTTCCCAGGTGTCCAAAGCAAACTTGCGTGCTCGCACACGTCACCCATGTCGGTTTGGGCATTACTTTAAAGATTGCAAGTAACTTATCGAACATACTACTAGCAGCTGGTGGTTTGGCGATTTCAAAGCCAAGCAAATTGAAACCGATAAATCAAATTGCAGGTTTGTGCACATCGAAGGACCTCAGTCATGTCTGAATGAATCACGCCATACGAACCAGTTTTGCTGCGTTCGCCGAGGTGCTTTGTGGTGAGTTGATCCCACTTAAAACATCTCACCGGACGCTGCATTAACTTTTGCAATAGCGATGTATCAGATGCAGGATGACTGTCAGTTTTTTTGTAGGAACCAAGACTCGGCACACCAGAAATCCCTCACTTAACATACAATCATAAAAAAATGAGAGAATCATTGATGTGTTTCGATGTCCACGTCTTCTCATGATGCCTTAAGCATAGCCACATTGTGCCATAGCGTTATCAGTAAGAAGAACCACTGGTGTGATTGCATTCCGTTTTGCGTGTGAACCTGCGAACGCAAGTGTGTGCTTTCATCTGAGACGTGAAGAGAACGTGCTGCTTTCAATCATCGAGTTTATTTTCACGACGCAGTGTTAGTGTTCGACCTGACTTGCGCAATTGGAGGCTTGGTAAATGCGAAAAACGGGAAGCAGTCGAAGTAGGTCTGTTTGGGTAGCTGGCGACCCTAGCGTAAACCCTGGTCTCAGGCATATTTCGTCCGCCGGTGTGATGTTCAAGAACATCACATAAGTGATTGCTGGTAGGCTGAGATGGACGGTTGTTTGCAAGCGCAACAGAAGTCAAGGTAAACCCGATTTAATGAAGATGCCACGCTCGTTAGATTAATTTAGGGTGTCGATAGGGAGCGATGTATTGGTTAGGGAAAAAAGCCAGGTTCGCAGTCGTATACATATACATGCAGAGATGTGACAAATATCGAGGCATGCTGAGTACCATGGACACAATACAGGCGATAAGGTAGCTTCAGTTTCGAGACTGATAATACGAGTTAGTTGAGGAAGTCAGGATAAGCTTGCATAGCTTATCGGCATCAAGGTAAGTATAAGCTCGATCCGGGGATAGGCCGTTGAAAGCTAAGGAGGAACGAGTTGAATCAACACTCCCAATGGCATTGGCAAGTAATTGGTAGTGGCATAAAGGCAAGGCGGTGGTGTAAGCGTCCAGTGAGAAAGGCAACTTCCGTCTTGAGAAAAACGACTTCAATAGGGAACAGAAATGCAACTTAGCAAATATTCTGTGCTAATTTATGCATAAATGCGCGTCACAACGTCTTCTTTGATCCATTCATTGTGATCTGTGGTGTGTCGTGATGACTTACGTCTACCAACAGTGTGGCCACGTAATCCCACACCCCATTCCTTTCATCTCAGTGCCGCCCACGCGGACACGTCTGCACGTGCAACCCTGTGTACATTCCTCCACTGACACCCTGACCAACCCACGCATCTAACTACTCAGATGCTCGTGCATTTCTTAGTTAATCCGAACTCTATTGGTGGACAGACTCCGCCACTCACATTTCATCACCCATTGAATTTGTACGCACGCACGTGCGCACGTGCGCGCACACACACACACACAATGCACACGTCAAAAGCACAACGGCTTGAGGCTGTCGAATAAGCAATTGTCTCCGAGATCCCCGGTTTCTTAATGCGCCTGGGTACCTGCTTAGTACAGTATGACCAGTGGCATTTGGCGGACTTGGTGTGGTTCGAGACCCAAAGCGGGGGCTTTACAGATCCATCTAACGCATGCTGCAAAATAACCGGATTGTTTGTGTGAGGCAGCTGTCTCGATCTAGACTCCCGTAAGCAATCAACCAAACCGTGTTCTGGAATTCGAGGTAGGGTTTTACTCCATGCGTCACTTTCGAACAATGCTCAGTCATGCTAGACAGCGACTCATCAGCTAAAGGACTTGTCAGTAGCGCGCTTATTCCATTCGATGCAGGCATTAGAAGAAGCATTCAATTCCAGACTCGTTAAATCTAAACAAACCCTGATGACTACAGGTACACCAAATAAATCTCAAATCCAGTCCAAGATATTAGCAAATCAAGTGAAATATGGTGGCCATCACTTCATTCGCTTGAACAACTAAACCAACGGCCTAGAGTGCATGGTGTTGTGAATTTGTTTAAAATACAACTCACCAGTCTGGAGGAAAGGGCACTTCGTGATCGACTGCGACTCGTAGAGGATTGCCGAATACTGCGCTGATGGCTTCGGCTTCGGTCCTGTGAGGCCTCTGTATCAACGCTGTTAGCAGGCAAGGCTGCGCCTTTTCCAACCTGTGATTCGGAGTGGCTCTAAAATAAGTGGATATTGACGATGAAAAGGAGTCTTCGGTAGGGGTAACGTGCCACCCACAAGCCCCTTGTAGACATTGCAAAGGCGTTGGCTCGCAACAACGTAATGTCGGGTCCGGCACATTGGGTAAAGGCAAAAGGCAAGCATGGTAGCAACAACCCATTGGATATATTTATGGAATGGGATTTAATAAATTTCGCAACTGATCCAATAGTATTGTGTGTTATGCTCTATGCCTGGGTCACCAGCTCGCTGTGGCACGAGATAACACGCGAAGTCCAGCGCGTAGAGATAAGGTGAAAAATGACGCGGACACCGCCACCTATTCATCCGCTAGGCAGCATTGTGTCATGTGTGTGTGTGTGTGTGTGCGTACGTGTGTCAGCGTGATGGGAGCATTTAAGAAGACAATAAGCATGTAAAAGACGATAAAAAACGACATTGGAAGAGTCAATAGGTGAAATGTCGAATTGCGCTCAAATACTCGAACTCCATAACAA